TGTGTGTGTGTTCATGTGTTCATCCATTTCGCAATGTATTGTAGTGCAGTATAGCCGACTGGTGTGACAACATATGCTCATATATCGGAGGTGTAGGCAATTAACTTTGCGTTGAGGCTTAGTATAATACTGACTAATGTAACGCTGTCTTCTTTTACACATCCGGCGATTCCGAGAACCAGCATTTGGATGAGGGACTACAGCTGGTTCTACCATGATGAAGCTGTAGTCCAGACTCTGAGGGGTGCAGCTTCGCATCAGGACTTGCATTATGTGAAACAGGTGCAAGATTGTGAAACGCCCTCAGGCGAAACAGACAAAGAGCAAATCTACAGCCCCGGAACCTCCGTTATCGAACACCGGCCACAGAACTGACAACCTCAACACCATCCGTAAAAGCCTAGCCCAAAGCCCTGCCACAGCTCAAAGCCCGAAACAGTCTTTGGACCGGCCTCCTCCTGTGGGAGAGATCGCTTTTGGCCGACCTACACACTGTGCCCAGGAAGTCCGCGCGCTTGTTCTGGGTGGTCGAGGGCCAATACCGTTTAGGATTCCAGCTCTTTTCCGGTCTGGAGGCCTCCCAACTTTAATTGTCCTAGGGGAAGGGGGTTGACGTGTTGCAGGGTCCTTTTCTTTCTGGCTTTCCTTGTTTCTTGCTCTTGTTTGTCTTTCGTGTGTTGGTTTGTGCGCCTCTGCGCATGTGTGTGTGTGCGTTCGGTTCTGTAGCCTTGGGGTCGGGATTCATTCGTTGAAGGGCTCTTAGGCGAACGCCTACATGGATTGTGCCTTTTGCCGCTACTTCGCCAGGTTCGTAGTTCGTGGGTGGAAGTGTCGGGCTCGCGGTTTGGGATGGACGTAAAGAGGGGTGGCAGCGTGGCGGATTCAACATGAGGGTACATTCTTGTACACTAGCCCGCTGTTCTTCTGGGCACACACCTACCGCTGCCGCTACCGCGACTGCGACCGCTACTACTACTACTACCACCACCTCTCAGTACTGTCACGATCACCACCCGCTAGCCGTTTTGTGATCACTACACTTAACTACAAAACTGATGCGGCTCTGCTAAGACTGAACTTCTGCAAACCCGAAAGCCACCCATGTGACAAGCGAGTCGCACGACGGCCATCGCATGAGGGCGAAGCTTCAAACTCCAAGTTATGAAAACAGTGCACGAAACAAGTCGACCAAGAGTTTGGGCTGTCACTCGCGTAGTTGCAGGAGCAATGCGACACAGGATCTACGCCCGCTCTGCAACCGTAGGACCTTAAACCGAACTTGCAACCCATGCCTCGTGCAGCGCTCCGACGAACCTGAGGAGGGCGGTCTCGGTGAGATTCTACCAAGCTACGTGTCGCACGTCTAGTCTCAGGGCTTTCGTAGGAAATGCTATAGGGCTTTAATTTGCACTCTTAAGATCAGGGTAGGCGTAAACACTAGTAAGAATATCACAGCAGCGGTTGCAATGTTGGATAATTTCGTGGAGCCCTTCTACGCCAGGATTTCCACGGGAAGGAAGTCTCTCTTGGAGACAGCTGAGGATGAAGGGCATCTTGGAAGTAGTCATGTAGGGACCTTCATAGTTAGTAAAATTACAAGCTGTCTCGTCTGTGTCAGTGATGGTTTTAACCAGGTGTTCGTTCATTCGAAACGAGGGGGGGTCTATTATAGCAAGACGCACAACGATCTTTATGGGACATTCTTACTCATTATTTCGGCGCTGTTTTTGTGGTCAAGTAGGCTGTGATTGGTGAGCCTCGGGGTTTCAAGCCAAAACAAAAGCCTCCTGATAAGAATTTGGGACCACAAGGATCGCTTTACCACAGAAGTTAGGTTCAGATTTCTTTCAAACTTTCAGTACGGGATGTGCCGCGGCTTTCTGCAAAATCACGTAAGCGCCCTAAGCCCCAAAATCTGAGCCAGAAATCCTGAAACCGTGTACACCCGGTAGTCCCTTCCCACCCCAGTCCTGTCAAAGCTCATCTTTCGCGCACCTTTCTGCTTGCCTGGCCACAGCAAAGCACATCTTAGGAGTGTAACTAGGATTTAGAGCTGATGGCTGACATGTTTCAAGGGCGTAGAATTTATGGGCACACTTTCACTATAAGATTTAAAAGGAGGCTTTCGGGTCTGTGGACTGAGGGTTGAAGGTTCGTCCGGCTGCAAAAGCTCGCGTACACAGAAGAACTGGAACGGCTTAGGGTTTAGGGTTTAGGGTTTGGGACGACAGCCCGATCTCCAATTCTGAACCTGCTTCGGGGCTTCAGCGGGATCAGAGCAGCAAGGACTTCTGGGTAAGGGTGTGTGGCAGGCAATTCCCGTGCCTCACCCGTTCGAACCAACAACCATTGCAAAACCCGGATCCTGATCGCAAAAGTTCACGAACTCAGATGTTCAACCCTTGATGGGAGGTGCACGTGATTTTTGCAGTTCCCCACATTCAAGCTGCGACTGACACTGATGGAATGCTTGTATGGCTAGTAGATCTTACTTGCATTGGCCTCTCCCCGAACCCTGAACCCTCGACCCTCAACACAAAACTCTAAGCTCTCAAACCCTCAACCTCAGCTTCTAAAACTCTAAACGCCAAACCCTAAAGACCATGGAAGCACAAAGCGCCCGGTAGCATGAAACGGCCGAGCTGCATCTCGCGAAAATCAGATCGGCCTACGAGCAACAAGAAAACAGGTTGCGATTGCCTCAAGAATCGGTTTAGGGTTTACGGTAACGCAGGGGCCCGCAATAGCTGGAATAGGGTTCCGGGGGCCTTTTGCTTTTTCTAGGCGGAACCCTAAGAAATACTACTGGTAGCTATTCTGGGCTCACATACCTCATCATTTTTGGCTGCATTATGTGCCCTCGACTGGATTCAAAACTTCCTTTAACAGCTTTTAGCTTTGGGATTTGAAAATTTACTACAGGATACTTAACTTAGGATTTCAGGGTTTATAGAGGTTGTAGGGTAATAGTACCTAGAACTTTGGCAATGAATGTAAGCTGCTTCGATTTTCCATTAAAGCGGGGTCCTGAGTGTATTGCCAGCTCCTACAAACCTTGCGCCGGGACTGTAACTCCATAAGCATTTGTGAGGAGTTCTAGGGTTTGGAGCAGCAGAACTACGGGCATGAGCTGCGCTTTTACTGTTGCACTACATTACACCTCAACAGCTTCGGTGAACTGCGCCTTGATGTACGTTCAGTCACAATACAGTACACGGACCCAGCGGCAGGCACACACGCAAACACGCTCAGGTATGCGTAGATGTGTGGAGGTTGCATTCACGTATCCATGTCAATACATGAACAATGTAGTTTTAGCAAGTGATGTCATATACATGTTTATTTTGTTGTCCGTTAAGAGATGAGGTTGTTTACTTTTCGGACTGAGTTGAACCACGGTTTGGGAAGGGCGGTCCGGGCTTGTGCATCATGGCGACATGCATCCGATGCATCCTGAGGCGTTTCAGCATGCCGACGACGTGGAATGCAGTAGTGGCAGCTGCGCAAACGAGAGCCGAACAAAAGTAGTAATACTTGCAAGACTACCAAGAGAAAGTGCACCAGTATAGGCGGGGACATCAGCATGCAAGACGCTTGAATTTTGCCAGTACTGTTTGCCTTCTTCCATGAGGGATCCAAACAATCAATATGCACCCTACCTCGCGCACCATTCGAAGCTCACGGCTTCAATGAAATCATAACACATCCGAGTATTCGTGATAATGCTGAAAGCCGCAACCCCCACCCTGAATCCCAATCTAAAACCCCGGAGTCCGAAACGCAAGAACCTAAGCCTGAGGATTTCAGAAGTCTCGACCCTCGAGAACCGCATAACCCCTTGCCTGGACTGTCTTCAGCCTCTCATCCAGAAGGCCTCCACCGGTCCCGCGCTCTTTGTTGCTGGAATTTTTTTGGGGAGGGACGGGAGAGGTGGTGGGCAGATGCAAAGAAGTATTTGCAGCTGAGCTGTTAGCATCTTCTGGAAGGGTAGAGTTTAGGGACAGACGTGCAGGTGCAAAATCCGCTGGCGAGGTGGGGGTTCGAGGCCAATGGGTTTTGTGCTAGCTTTGAGGATGGTTTGTAGGGTTTACGGTCTAGAGTTTAGGATCCCTGCTCTCTGCAAGTACAGCACTGGGAACCCACCGAACCTTGTCAGACGGGCTGTCACGCATTCCGGTATACAAGTGCTGCAAATACCTTTATGACTAGCATAACGATTAAAACTACTGTCATTGCTGCCATTGCTAGAAGTAGTACGAATTTATGAGCGCGAGAACCATGATGAGTACTGTTGAAATCCTGGCAGTTCCTGTCCCATGCTATGGGTCAGGGTCCCGGCAGGCCTGCGAAACAGTCACCTCACCTGCTTTGCCGAAGTCTACAATCATAAGAACAATGCAAATAATAGCAGTTGTTGTTGTTGTTGCTGGTTGCGCTGATTGTGGGATGTAGTTGCAATTGTGTTCTAGGAGTGGTCGTCATCGTGGTTATGGTTGCTGCTGCTTTGATTTGCTCCTGTTGCGTTCTTTGGTGCTTCTTATGTGCTGCATTTGTTTTTGTATGTCGTTGTTTTGTGTGTGTTCTGTGTTGGTGGTGGATATCACATTCATTTACTGGCTGTTGGTTTGCGGTGTGTTGCTTGGTGTCTGTTTTATGTCGTGTCTCCAGCGATGCTTCTTCTTCCCAAAACTACGTATTCGAATCATCTAGTTAACCTTCGCATCCAGCCCTAGACGGCTGCTGTCCTAAACCTCAAAACCCTAAACCCTAACACAAAAACTTAACACCCTAGCCCTGCCCCGGGCCTGAGTCCTTGAGGCATTTGACAAAGGCACGCCCATCCATTTCCGAACCGCCTGCCGAGCAAATCCAGTGCTTTAGGCTTTAGGCATCGCTCCGAGAACCTGATCCCCAAATCCTTCCCCTCCTACCCCCAGCCCCGCAAGCCTCCAGCCCTTGTTGAAACCAGATATGCAAATTTCTGAACAAATGAAGGATGTCCCCGAGGTTTCTGCTATAGTTCCTTATGATGGCGCGAAATACCGATGAGGGAGCATCAGGAGATCCCTAAACACAGCCCCACCTGCAAAGGCGTAGTACACATCTCGCAAAGCATCCGTCATCAGGGTCAAGTCGGGGCTGTGACAGCTCTTTTGGCTGAACACGGCTGCGGCCGCAACGTCGGTGAGCGAAGTTGAAACCAAGCTTGGCTTGGGCTGATGGTTGAGACCAAGCATGGATACTGATGAGCTCAGTAAAGCTGTTGCATGTGTACAGTAATGTATATCCGATGTTTCTAATTCGAGCTCCGGGAACATTCATACAAGCACCTTTCGACAGCCCCGCGCGCACGCACACACACACACACACACACACACACACAAAACAAACAGATCTAGGGACGTTGACACGCAAGCACAAGGAACCAACAACATACAGCTAACATAGCTGATATCTGAGCCTGCTCGATTCTCCGATGCTATTGAACACCCCAAACCGAGACAGCTCCAGCGATTGAATCTCGCAGTCAGTCGAAACTTAAGTGGCACGCACCCAGAAGCACAAACCACGCACCTGACGCCAAGACCAGAAAAGGAAACCTCCACATCCCACAGTGGCCACAAATTTCGCTACGTCGCGACCGCTCACATCCCTCCATTCTCGAAGACCCCAATACAAGATCCTAAGCCCTAAGCCAGTAAAGCCCAAACATCCCATATCCCGGACATAGTAAGCCTCTAAATAGACGGCTCCTCATGGTCCCAACGAACTTTTGCAGCTGCTCTTCGCGTGCTTTTCACCACGTCACCTGGAAGTCGCAGCCCGCGGCAAAGCACAGCAACACGATGGGATCCGACGGCCTGTGGCTTTCAAAGCAAGGTTCAGCACTTTGGGATGAATAACAAGTACTGCGCTTACGGAGGTTGAGAGGGGTGTGTGTGTCTGTGTGAGCATGTGCTATGATTGCGTTGCTCGTGCATGGCCAAGCGCACATGCATGGTGTGAACAGGAACTGTGCTAGAAGTGTTTTCACCGTGTTCGATACCGTAAACCAAGACCAACCAAGAACGCAGAACCGACTCTGCAGTGGCAAGTTTTCAGCTGGCTTTCAGGGTTGCACCTAGCTCAGATCAACTAGGGTGTGTGTGTGTGTGTGTCTAAACGCAGGTTTGTCTGCGGCCCGTGGAAAGGAAGCACGACCTAGAACGACCTCACCGAGGCATGCAAGCTTCCACGGCTTGCGAAGCTACGGGGTATCAGGTTGTCGCGGTTGCAAGCCAGAAGTGGAGTCTACAGACTCCGGACATGGTTTTGGCAGAGAATAATAAAGCCGATCCGAAGGGACACCGAGTTCGAACCGTTCGGATGCCTGCTGGGGCTTTGGCTTTGCATGGGCCGGCTTCACACAAAGGTCTATAAACCCTAAAGCGACAACGTGTCAAACAAGCCCTAGCTGTTCTCCACACCCGAGTCTTTCGACTGAAAGCGCGAATCTAGGCCGTAAAATGAATTACAAGTACGATTTTTGTCATAACTTCTAGGAATCAGTCTTGTTCTTATTCTGATTCTTTTTACTACTACTACTACGACGACGACCACTACTACTACTATGATGTCTATTGTTGCTATGATTCAGAACACTTAGGCTACTGTCCGGCGCGGCCTCCTCGAGCCTCCGAAGCGCAACCTGGCCGTCGGGACGACAGGTTAGGACCGGTTTTCGGGATTTGTTGTATTTTTTGGGTATCGATTTTCTTCTTCTGGGAACTCTAGGCCAGTTAGGTGCGATACTGGGGTATCGATTTTGGGGTTTAGGGTCGTTTCGGTCTGATCCAGGGCCTGGATCACCCGCATGGCGCTGCACAGAACGCAGAACAGAAGCCGGCCCGACATCACAGCGGATAACAAATACTCTCCAAGCAATCGCAGCGCCCCGAAAGCTTAAAGCTGGAAAACATGGCATCAAATCCAAAGCGGAAACTACTCAAAACCCTAAAGCCCTGATGGCCTCATCCGGCTCGAGAGATTGCCGGAGCATCGATTGGAACGCTCGTTCTGCTTCTCCTGCCAACTCTCGGGTTTTGCGCCTTTTGGTGTATGTGAAGCGGCATGTGTGTACAGAAGCAAAGTACGACCCAAGCAACCAGGTAAAACCATGAACAAAACGCGAACTCGTATAACGTAGCCTAGCATAACCCTGCACAACATAATCTCAATATCATAGAATATTGCAAGGTCTGTCGAGACATGTTAAATGCCTGCACAAGCAATGGGGTCAATAGGCCAAAAGGTGATGATAAGGTAAACTTGTTCATGTACTGCAATACAGTGCTCCACTGACACTAGTGCTTCCACTGTATGTTCACCTGTTGGAATATACTTAGCCAAAAGCATAGACAGTCGAAGGCAAATCAAAGTCTCGCCGTCGAGTTGCGTGGGCGGGGTGGCCGGGCCCGTGCACAGGCGGCGATAGCGGCGGTCCACGTAAGCAGGTTCCTTGGCTCGATTGGCCGCAAAGAGTGCCACGCGGGCACTGTGGAGGGTGTTTGGAGAAGATCCTGTTGATAACTGCGAACCTTTTGAGCCCGATGGGAGCATCAATACCGACCAGCGAACCCAAGGTCTCCACATCGGCAGAAGAGGCTTTTGTACGGGTTTGATTCGATGTAACTTGGTACCCTGTAACTAGCTGAAAGCTTCACAAGTGCTGAAGCTAATGCATGAACGGCAACATCTACGGCTCCAAGGCTCTCTTGAACCTCAAAGTGGGGGTTGCAAGTTATCTAGCATCGGGGTGTTTTGGCTCTATATATGGTGCAGCGCTGCTAGCCCCCCCCTCCCCCCCGACCCCATGGTATCCCCCTGTGGTTCCCTGTGGTGTGGGTTCCCCCCCTGTCCCTCCCTGGAAGATGATCATGATCCCCGTCCGCAAACTCCTCCGGTCCCTCGCTCAAGACTCCTGAATGAAAGTTATTCAAGCAAATGCTCGGGCTGACTTTTACCGCACCCATCCGAAACTGAGCATAGAATGACAACGGTAGGTACACACTACGAAAATCTACGAAAAAACATCAAGCCAAACAAGCTTTCGCAGTTTAAGTACAAGCAAAGAACATGCGGCACCTAAGGGCAGAACAGCATAAGAGCAGTGGTGCTACCAACAGTCACGCTCGGAATACCAGCATGCGCGAAGCACATCACCGTCATCGTCCTCAGCATCATCGCCATCATTCTCATCTGTGTGGGGAGGGGGGGGGGGGCGGGGGTTGGACGATCTTGCGCGAGAGTTCCAAAGAACGTCGACAGGTACGCGGGACCATATATGCTTGCGCATGTTGCAGGCAAACCGCGGTTGCAAGGCGGCAGCATAGATATCACCTCGGATGCTGACCCTCGTATGCACGCTCGTTTCGGATCTAACCCGTTTTGCTGATGCAAGCACCAAGTACATACGGGCACTTTAACAAAAAACAGGTTGCAAATTGTGATGAATACTGCGCTCTGCCAAGTCGACGCCCGGGCACAGAAGACCTTCTGAATACCCTCTGGATCGCCAGCCCTCGCGGATGCACTGGCCTTGAAGCTTTAAGGCACAGGAGAAGGTGGGCTGAGAGATGTGTATTTTGCACCTATGGCTCCTGCTGAAGTTAGGGTCTTTTTTTTGACACGTCTTTTCCACCTGCCTGATTCAGTTAGGTCGAATGCCAGGTTGGCTGAGGCAGTTGCTTACTGCTGCGGTTTCCACTATTCTGAAGTTCGGGTCTAGACTTTAGTGTTTAGGGGGTAGGTCCGGGAAACCAGGGACTTAGAGTCCTGGTTTTCGGGTCAAGTTGTGAAGGACCCGTGCAGCTTTCAACAAAGCTATGAGGTACAGTGTTGTTGTTTAGGGTTTGGATTTCAGAGGGCCAGGGCTTTTGGGGAGTAGGGCTTTGGGTTCTACCAAAAACTCTACTTGCAGGGATGGATAGGGTCTCGAAGTGAATCTCCTATATATTCGCGTTGTTGCAGTTCCCATGGTGGTTCTTCCATTCCCTCCCAATGCTTCCAGCAACATCTAACCACGGGCGGAGGGCTGGTTGGAGGCCGCGCGCGCTTTTGGGGGCGCCCTTTGGTTCAGGTCGTAGAACGTTGGAGGCCGCACATGGTGTTGGGGGCCCATCAATGACTGGTTGGAGGCGCGCGCTCTGTTGGGGCCCCCCCCTTGCTGGTTGGAGCCCGCACGCGATTTTTCGGGGCCCTGCCTGGCCCCTGCCTCTCCAAGAAGCATTGTTGGACTCTACGAGTATATCGGTTTCCATTCCTGCATCGTTGTCAAGCAGCCTCTTCGATGTCTGCGGGCTATCAGACCCTATGTTTCAGGGCTTACAACCGTTGTATCTCGAGACCACAGCGCTTTGCCAGAAGCACTCAGAGCCATACCAACATCCTTGAGCTGAGACCTTTGACACTTGATGTGCTCCGGCTTCTTGCAGCGCCCCTTCGTGCGTGAAGACACTTGACCTGTATGACATCCACTGCAACTTATGGGCGAATGAACACTCTCCTTTGCGTCACAGCTCGTACCGGGAGACGAACAACAACAAGCGGACTCAGGTTGGGCACGGGTTGTAAACTATGGTAAACCTGTATTGTCGATGCTGGTCTGTTCTCGGTATGTCTCACTGTGGATACATTTCCTGCCTCTGCGAAGCCTCATGAAACATCCATGCTTCCTGAAGTTTCTGTTGCCTTTCTCGCTGCATGTTGATGAGCACTTTGTTTGCTGGTGTTTGAAACCGTCAAGAAAGCTGGTTGAAACAATAACATCCGTTCGGATTGCATCTACCATTGTCAGGATTAACTCGCCAGGGCCCGAAACCTCCGAATCCAACATGATGCCCGGGCCCTTCCTCCCATGCCGCCGTGCTGCCAGGGCGGTATACCTAGGACAGCATCGGATGTGTGCGCAGGGGCTTAGGACCAATCTCTGCCCTAACAGCAAATGCGGGTGCCTCGGATTGGCTTCTGATCTTGATGTTTGAGTCGATGCTCTGAGCCCAAACAACCCAGGGTGTACATAGCGTCACGAAATGACTCAACCGGAGGTCCAAACACTTTCAACCCAATCTGCCAATCGTCGAAGCAATCAGCCCGATCCCAAACGGGTCCAGCTGTGTCCAAAGGTTGATCGAGCCCTTGATCCCTTGGTAGAGGCTGGTCGGCAGAGTTTCCAGTTGTTCTCCGGCTGCGACTGCTTTGATTCGCAGCCTGGTCGTTCTTGTGTTACAAATGCTGCAATTTGCATCGTTTCTGGTGTTCTCAGGCTGCAAATGACCTGACATGCAGCATTTCTGCCTTCAGGCTGCTCATGATTGTGAAACCTATACCTTCAACAGCTGTAGTCGCAGTTCTTCGGCTCCAATAGCATCAACGGAAAACCTACTGCCAAAAGCCACATTGATTTACTTTCTCTATCTCTTTCTCTCTTCTCTCTCCCTCTTCTCTCTCTCTCTCTCTCTCTGTCTCCCGGGCATGAGGGTCGGTTAAGACCCCGGGCCACAGGCCCACCCGCATGTATTTAACGCGAGTTGAGGGGTGTGAAGAACGAACATAATACTTCCAAAGACTAGGGTCACTATTCTCTCTCTCTCTCTCCCACTGAAGATCCATAAAATATGATATCATACTGCTTTGTATTGAATTATTACAGTATAGCATAGCAAAGTCTAGTACAGTATAACACGGTATACCGCCAGAATCCAGCGTTGCAAACAAAGGGCGCGACCAGGTCGGGCTCAAGTTGTGCTGATCTGAGGTCGCAGAGCACTCGCCGTGCCTTCAGGGCCCAAGGACGGGTTCCATATCATACTGGACTACATGGACATTAGACCAGACTATACTATGCAATACTATACGGTACTATGCTATAGTATTCTATACTATACTGTGGTCTGCTAACGGTCATGGCGTTTGTTTGGTTGCCGGATTTAGGGTGCAAGATATTCGCCGGATCTTGCAGACACTGCTATTCCACACCTAATATACTTTGGCATATGATAGACCCCATGGACAACGTCTGCTGGGATGACCCGTCTGTCGAAAGCAGGACGACCACTGCATTCTGCCAGTGGGTTACCTTTGATGTTGGCTTCTAAGCCATTCGACCAAATCCCCAACAAACTCTGAGCCCTAGAATCAGCGGCAGTGGGTCATCTGTTCTGCCGGCTTTTAAGAACCAGAAACTGGCTCAACATTGAACTCCCACGGGAGTTTTCGGAAGGACCGTGAGGCTGCAAGCTGGCGACGAATATGGAGGCCTTCATAACTAGAAGAGGGTTTGTGTGATATCTGACAGTCTTATCGATGACGAAGCCCTAAGGATCCTTAAAAAAGAATATTACCAATAAAACTAGAATAGGTTTTTTGTTTTGGGGTAGGTTATACCAACACTGTAATAAGGAGCCCCCAAAATAATATAGGTAATTATTCAGGCCCCTATGTTAAGTAGGCCGACCCTGTATTTCCTGCAGCCAGGCCAGTTTCCCACCTCGCCTCTGCAACATCGGAAGTGCGGGCAAATCCTGTCAGGACCTCGGGAAAGCGCGGGATGCAACAACTTCAGTGAAGGTACCAGGCACACGGTTTATGTAGGGTTCAGGAGTTCGCGGTAAACCCTGAACCCTTCGAAGCCCCTCGAGTAGCAAGCTCTCCGGGCTTGAAATCTATACTGCCCTTCCTACGAGACAGCCGCTCTAGCAAGCAGCAGGCGGTGCTGGTGCCCCGAAGCCTGAAACCCGCAACATGTCCCAAAGTCATTGTGACCAGGAGGCAGAGGTGTAGGCAACCTCATCCGGGCTCAATTGGGCCTAGCGGGCCATCCGCTGGGCGGCTTCCGGCATTTTGGGGCCTTACTCGCGTCACATTAAGAAAACACTTGCTCTGAAGCCAGAAGAAGGCCCCTTCGAGAAGGGAGCAATACACAATAATGGTCACTGATACTCTGCTCGGCTCAAGGGGCACCCTGTGGTGGTGCTGCTCGTGGTGGTTGTGGTCCAGGTGCTGGTGGTGGTGGCAACAGTAATACGCAAGAAGATGGAGAAATATCGGAGTCCCCAACATGTGGCAGTATGAGACGAAGAGTCAAAGGTGAAGCGGGCTTGACTTTGCTACAAGTTGTATCAGCTGTCGGGATCTTTAGAGGATCTCTTGCATCAGCCTTCCTTCCCCTAAGCGCTGAACCCCTACATGGTTTTAATTTAGTCTAAATTTAACAAACGCCAAACCCTAAACCCTCGTTCAGGGTTCTTCAGGAATGGACCAGACTAGGGCTTTCACGGTTTCAGGGTTCTTCCAGTCCTCGGTCCTTCTCTCTCTCAGGGTGTGACGAGACGTATATTGTAGTATACATGTATGTAATAAGGAACTTTAAGGAATAGTGTATAGTCTAGTCAATCAGGCTACTGCCATACTGTTCCTTAGGGCTCCTTGTTCTGACTCTAGAATCTGCCAGAAAAACCATGTCAGTTTGCTGAGGCCCAACTTGAAGAGGTGTCAAGCCTCGACCATGGTCTTCAGCCAGTCGTCAGCGCTTCTGACGTCGCCCGACCTCGTGCAGCTCTCGATGAGGCTCGTGTACCTGAGGTCTCCAGCGGGATGTCTGGTTTAGGGCGCAAGGAACGTCGAAGATCCCAGCACCCTGGATTAGATGGATTCGACCACATGCAAGTCCTGAAGCTGGCTACGGCCTCTTCCTTAAACAAACTCCAGAAAATGCAAGCAATGTCGGCAACAAAGTTGAACATCTTTCAAAGGCTAGCTGGCTCTCCTCTAGTTGTCAACGACTCCTTCTTTTTGCATCAAGATCAGCTGGAACAAACATGACCATCAAACACCTGCGGCCATGTCTGCCCTCATCACTGCAGTGATGAGGAACGTGCACCTTCTAATTTGGCCAAGATGCGTGATTTCATCCGGGGAGAGACTCAGGGATTTCATCTTGGAGAACCACTGCTGAGCTTCCGCTGGCTTGCGCGCTTTGGCACATCCATGTATCAGTGCGTTACCTTGGTCGGGCATGTTGAATGCTTGCAGTGTGCTTGCAACTCTAAGCTTACGAAGATGACGATGTCGCTTTACTGGAAATCCTAGTGTTTGCCACGTATGTCTTGCAGACATCATGATTTAGCGGATCCAACCGGTGATTTGTACCTTGGCACAGGCTGCAGGTGTAACAAAGCAGACCAAAAGAAACGGCAAGCATCTCTGGGAAAACTACGGTGTGCAGGACTTTGCGGCTTGGACGATCTTAGGGTTTCGAAAACCCCAACTTACAGCCCGCATCCTCCTCCAACGCATCCGAGCGGCACGAGATTATGTCCTAAGTTGTGTTGCAGCTAGGTCCTACAAAGTCGGCAATGCAGCTTTGCAAGCCAGCTTCGAATCTGTCGAGACCGTATCAGACTCGTCTCGAGCCAAGCTCTAAATACTGAGCAACGCACTCAAACTCTATGATGCTCTGCAGAAGATGAACACGGTCTTGAGCAACAGCACCGTTGCATCGAAAGTGCACCACAAGCATCATCTTCTTCTATAGCCTATGTCACAGCAATCACTCTCACAATCAACACGCCCATCATCCTTGTGTTCACGGCCATCATCGGTGTTGCAACAGCATCTTCGGCGCGGCATCTTCAACACCACAAGTCACCTGCACAGTGACCGTCACCAACGTCAATGTAATCATGGCCATGTCGTCACTTCCATCCTCAAGTTCACGAGTATGTTCAGCATCATAGCCACCACCACCACCAGCATCATAATCATAATCAGGGGACTGCTCAAGTGCAAACAGAGCCCGTTTGCGCAACTTTGGCCAAACAGAAGCGGGCTCGGATTGGTGATAACGAGGAAAGCTCAGGATCATACGGTGATTGCAGCAAAGAAGTTGATGATAGCTGTAACTCTCGCAGGAAGTGAACAAGAGACCTTTGAGGGAAATCGTAGGAACAGCTGCTCTAAAGACTACCTCAGATCGTATGCATGACAGTGCACAGCCGGGTTTACCGTGACCGAGGGCAGCTGCATGGCAATTTGCTAGTTGTTCAGCAAACAAGAGTCAGGGGTCTGTTGGATGATGCTGCTTTGACCTACTTGTCTCAACTCTCGTAGCATGCTTCCACCCGTGTATCATCATGCACAGCCGCAAGCGCTGAACCCGCTGTTGTTTTGGGCCGAGGTGCCGGAGGGACCCGCGCACTCACCATTTTTGCAAAAAGCTTTGCGGCCTGCCCATGGCAAGAACAGCATCAACAGCGAAACTCGTCATGTCACGCTAAGCAAGAAAGCACAGTATGGCAAAGCCACCAACACCAAACAACATGTCCCTGCTAAAACTCAGCAACAAAAGTACAAGCGCTGATGCCGACAGTGTGCCGCGTCGAAGCAGTGTCGACCCATAGAAGGGTGCAAGTGAGTTTTGAATGGATACCTATACCAAGCTCATCCTAACTCAAGTATGACGATTGCCGAGGATGACTAAACTGACGGCGATGATTACTACTCTCGCCTTCTTGCTCTATAGTTACCGAAGTACTATTATCTGCATTGCCATTTATGTGCTTATGCTCGTGATGACTACTACCCTTAGATGAAGACGAAAATCGTAATGACAAAGATGCTACCTGACATGATGAGACGAAATGACTCTTTACTCTGACCAAGAAGAACAGGCTGTTTGCGGCTATGGCTTCGACACAAGTGACCAAGATGCGATCGATGCTGATGCTGAAACATGGTTGTTTAGTCAGAGCTATCAGGAATGGGACGACGGGAACGAGGAAATTTTTATGTTGATGGAGGACGATCTCCGACATCATGATGACGGTGATAGTCACTGATAGTCTTTACATGCTTTTGGAGAATGGTCGTGATGATGACATGGTGACGGTGCTACGTCCTGAGATGAAGAACCTCTACAGCACGAGTGAGGATTACATTGGCGATCCCTCGACCAGGCACTGGTATGAAGATGTTGGTCATGTTGATGAGCAGTGCCCCATCTCCCACCTCCCACCTGCCCCCTCACCTGCCACCTCCCACCCGTCAGTCGTGATGCTGCTGCTGTTGAACATAGCCACGCGGATGAGCATGATGATGCTGACGATGTTGCTGCTGGTGAAGATGGTGCTGATGCGACAATCGCATATGGTAGCTGAGAGCGGCACCAGTACTTGTAGTGGCAGTGTGGCGACGGAGCTTCTGATAATGGTGTTGAGTGGTAATCATGCTGGAGAGAATGAAATTTGCGCTGATCAAATCGATGGCCTTGGGATAACCGTCAACAACAACAACGACGACAACAACAGCAGCAGCAGCAAAGCAACAACACCAAAACCAACAACAACCACAACACCGACCACAACAGCTACAACGACAAACGCTGCTTGGATGTCAGCTGTGCAGCCCAGCCTTCTCTGTTCTCCCTGCGCCGGCATTTCCGGAGATCAGCAGGTTGTAGGAGACCACCGAAGGGGTCTGGAGGGTGTCTTTAAGGCTCAGGGTTTCGGGGTACTTAAACTCGGTCTGTACAATCGAAAACTGAGCGAAACTTCTCCTGCTTAGCCAACAAGAAGTTCTTATTACTTTCGACTCAAAGCTTCTCCTTAAGGGACGTGCATGAACCCTTGTATCCGAAAGGGAGCCAGTGTAAGGTGACGAAAGGCGGCTACTGGCGAAGCGGGGCCTGTGTTATTCTTGTCACTTGAGGACCGACTTTTGGAAAGGAGCCTGCAAATGGGGCTAGGGGCGTCCAAAACCGTAGACAACTAGAATACGTGCCCTAGCGCACAAAAAATCATGCACGGAAGTGGGTTCCGCTTGCACAAACGCCGGTGAGTAGATGCTCTGGTTTTGAGGCGACTCTGATTTCCCAAACAGCGTGGTGCAGGCTAGACTGTGGGGCTCGAGCGTGGGGAGTAAAGAGAGCTTGTTAGGGTGGGCGCGAGGCGCGCTCGCCTGAAGGGGTCCGGTACATTGGTCACTGTTCGCAGCGAAATCTCTAATTCCCACCAGTGCCTGGGGAAGCATTGTGGCTGCGCTCTTGAATCCCACCAACGACTTTGGGGTCGTGCTCCTGAATCTGCTACTTGTAGTACTTCGGGGAAGCATGGTGGACGTGCTCCTGAATCCCGCCAGTATTTGAGGGAAGCCTTGTGGCCCTGCTCTTGCGAAATTTCTTGCATCCCACGTTTACTTGCGGGAACCTTTTGGGCCGCGTCCTGGTGGTTTCGTGGTCGTGGTGGTGGTCCGTCGTCGTGGTCGTCTTGGTCGTCGTGAGAGTGATCGTCATGGTCCTCTCGTCTAGGGCCTGTTTTGGAGTTTGCAGTTACAAACTCAAACATGATCCTCCTCAAGCCGAGACCGTAAGCAGTCTAATTGCCCCCAAAGCATGTCTGGCCGAGAAAAACTCGTTGTTAGGTGTCGCTCGGCCTCCTACAAGCATGCGCTATGCATACTACATATATATATATATATCTCTCTCTCTCTCTCTGTGCATATCTACCGATCATCCTCCCCTTAGAAAAACAGCGAACTAAGCCTTCTGCCCTGCATACACGCTTCAGGTACATGATGCTGATGATTGGAGTCGGCGGTTTTGTGAACCACACTCAACCCTGATCCTACACACCAAGCCCTTAGCCAAACAAGAAGCTGGAAATTGAGGGTCTTCGGAGCCAAGCAGCCAAGCAGTTCTGGCCTTAATACTTAAAATGCAGTGTTGAGTGGTGCAGCCGAAAGCCTCTACGAGCTCAGACAATAGATTTGGTGTAAATGGTCGTTTATATGTGTGCATATGTATATGTATATATATATATATATGTATATATATATATATGTATGTGTATATATATATATATACATATACTTACATTCTGTAGGGACTAGAAGCCGGTTTGGGGCCGAGAGTGTAGGGAGCATTGGGGTGAAGCTTACCGCAAGAATCCGCGAACTCAACCCCCCAAGTCGAATCATTGGACCCGGTAGCCACAGAACCCGCACTTGCTGCACGAAGTACCAGCTGCAATGCCACCATTCTGTAGAACCAATCCTGTAGCGATTAGGTGGAGCTTTGAGGCTCCACAGCGTGAGGTTTCGAGCTACGGCAGTATATAGGCGAGGTTCTTAGATTTGGGCGGGTCTCATTTATGGGTCCGGATAGTAAGGATCCTGCACTAAACCGTGTGCATCAGCAGGCATCACCCCAATCATCATCATCATCAACAACAACATCTTCATCATCATCTTCACATTCGCCGTCATCTTCATCATCATCATCATCATCATCATCATCATGATCATCATCATAAAAATCATCATCATCATAATCATCATCATCATCATAATCATCATCATCATCATCACCGTCATCATCATCATCATCATCATCACAACCGTCGTCATCATCATCACCACCATCATCATCATCATCACCATCATCATCATCACCATCATCATCATCATGATCGTCATCATCATCATCACCTTCATCATCATCTTCACATTCGCCGTCATCTTCATCATCATCATCATCATCACCATCATCTTCGTCATCACCATCATCATGAGCAGCATCATCAGCATCAGCATCACCGTCATCATCATGCTAGCAGTTGTCCTGAAAGCCAACTATGACGGGTACTGTGCTGACGAATGCTGACGGCTTGACGACACTGCATACTTCAGCCACTCCTGGACTTCGTTGTACGTGCGGAGACCTGTTCTTGGTTTGATGTTTACAAGGCTGCATGTTCTAGTTGCAAGATTAAAAGGAAACCCCGGCCGACATGCCAAAGCCGGGAATAAAGCCTTGTGGCCTAATCCGATCCCCTAGCGACCCTGAAGCCCTCAACCCTGAAGCCACAGCTTAGACTAGAATGCGACGGGTCACGGTGGCTCCGGAAAGGTCCCCAGCACGAAGGTTGGCGTCCATGACCTCAGAGGGGTTTAGAGGTTCAGAGGTTTAGTGCTCGGGTTTTTTCGGATTTCGGATTTTTGGGGTTAATAGGATTTCGTGATGAAATTTTCGAGACAGAATTCCCAGGCTTTTAGCCCCAGTGAAACCTCAAAGGCAACACAAGGCAAAACGCGGGCTCCCCCGCAGAATTGAAGGCGATCTCGTTTGGAGATAATTTGGCCTCCGGAAGAAAAGCCCGCCAAGTTGGGGCAAAAGTGGCAAGGCTTAGGGTCCTTAGGGTTTCAGGTGCTCAGGGTACTTAAGGGCAACTCAACAGTCCGATGGACCCATGATACACGTAAGAAGCATCTCTCTCTTCTATTAACCTTCAGGGTATAAATCTATACCAGATTAAGATCACAGCCCGATCCTCGGAGGTTCCAGTAAGCCGATCCAGACCGCAAGGAGGGAGCACACGCCTATACTGCTGCTTCTCTCGGCACTGAAGAGTTGATGTCTTGATGGGCATACCTCCGCAACCTAGATCACACCAGACCCGGATTCTCCCAACAAGGGCAGTCAACCCCAGTTTTGAGCACAAACGACATCCCATCATCCGTGCATCGGTTTCCGACTTTGGCTTTATGGCTGAGAGGATTCCGAGTTCAGTTCAAATTGCCAAGGCCGAAAGGTTTCATTTTTCGTTGTTTGAAGTCTTGCCGGAAAACATCTGCAGTTACTTTTTCAACGTCGGCGGCAGGATGCACCAGACAACTTATAAATCCCTGAAAAAAGGAGATTGCCCATCGAAGCCGACCCTTCCCGAAGGCCTCCTGCAGCTTCTGGAGCCAACTGCGCAGGCCGCGGGTGTAGAGTAGTAGCCGAAGGAGAAGTCGTCGTAGTGGCGTTAGCAGTGGTAGTAGCAGCAGTAGCAGTAGTAACAACAGTACCAGTAGTACTAGTAGTAGTAGTAGTAGTAGTAGTAGTAGTAGCAGCAGTAGCAGCAGCAGCAGCAGCAGCAGTAGCGGCAGCGGCAGTAGTGGGAGCAGAAGCAGGAGCGGGAGTGTAGCGGTAGTAGCAATTCCAATAATAAAGCCTTGCACCTTATCCCCGCAAGTCCCAAGGCCGTTCCTCTTGCTGAAGCCATAATCACTTCCTTTCACACAGCACCCAGCACTCAAGCTCTGACAGCAGCGCCGCCCTCTGACTTCAACGCATTCCTGAGCTTGGCCGTCCTCTGTGCTGCATCAGCATCGCCGACCCTGGCTGCGGCATCCAAGCAAGCGGTATAGGCGATGATGTCCTGCAGGGATCCTAACTTACTAAATGAGTCTACAGGCCTTAGACGCTTCAGTCGTTTTGCACCAGGCTTGAAGGTGTAGTCCCTTCCACGTTTCTGGGCTTTGAAGGTTTCGGCGTGTTTTGGTGACATTTAAAGCTTGGAGCGGCTGGTCGAGTAGGGCGAAGCTGTAGGATGGCAGCAGAAGCTTGTTGCATGTCGGAGAACAAATGACAAATAGTCTCATGGCACCAGAAGATCCTCCAAGCAGGTGCCGTTGTTTTACGTTGGCACTGTGTTTGTTTACGACTACAGTACAGTAGCCGGTCTCTGCGAAGTGTCCCACTAAAGCCTCAATCCAAAATACTAAACAATAAACCCCAAACCGTATAGTGACTCACCTTTAAGAAGAAGACCAGGACAACCACCGTGCAAGACGACCCACGAGCTTTTGACAATGCATGACGCGTTTACGTTTTTTGGGTTAACTGAGGGCTTCGGGAATGAAGGGCCGGACCCTTGACCTTCAGGAATCGGGCGAAAGGTTTAGGACGCAGGGTTCACGCGCAATTATTGGAGAACTGCTGGTTGTGCGGACTGTCAGTGCTTAGATTGCTTAGGATGCGCCAAAGCAGTACAAGCACCAACGCTAAGGAAAGGTGGCCTACATGATAACTATCACGTTCACAGTTGTAGTATCTAATGATTCTAACGCTTACCGCGGTAGATTACTCGAACATGATGTAGGGGCATGAGTCATGAGATTGCAAAAAATGCAGTTTCGTCGGTTTCTAGGGCTTTGCTCGTCTTCCGAGCTGACCTCAAGTAGATGTTCATGGACAGGGAACAAAATCAAGCCCTGTATGCCTATACCTGAAATCCTTCAGCCCGAAACTTGCGACGAGACAAACGCCGCGACCCAGAGAGCCTGTATGTTCGTGCAGGCTGTGTGTTCAAAATTGTTCAAACAGACTCGAAGCCAATTTCTGCATCCAAACCCGTCCGGATCTGATCGACATCGGAACAGCTGGCCACTCATTTTGCGCAGAGATGGTATTTCGAGGTATGGAAGCAGAGGTCAGCCTTCTCAGGCTGGCATGCTGGGCATGCTGCCAGCAAGGCACAGATTGAGCCGAGCGGAGGTTTATCCGGCATCCGATCAGCGAGCAGTGTGAGAATCATTCGGGTATCATCGCCTCCGGGTTTGGGTTTCCGGCCTTCAGGAAGGGATGTGAAGGCTGGCCACACTATATGATATGATGATATGATATGATATGATATGATATGATATGATATGATATGATATGATATGATATGATATGATATGATATATGTATATATATATATATATTTAGCATTAAGCATTCCGCATTATATATATAGTTTAGGGCTTTGGGGTTCTAGGATCACCGGCCGAGCTGTGAACAGTCTTCTCCAACCTCGAGGGATCGGGCATCCCAATTTCGGTGATACTGCTCATGGCTCGCGAGTCGACAATCTTCGACTTCATGTTGAACATCATCATTTTCGTCGTCATCTTCATCATCAGTACC